ATTTTATTTGGGTTTGTGCGCTTTAACGTTTTTTATTGGTCGTATCTGAAAAATGTGACCTGTACATGGGAAAATTTACATAGATATTGTAGTAATTATTACAACATTCCTGCGATCATCTGCAATTATTGCGACATTCCGTCATGAATTGATCATCGAGCACTACTTGAATGTGTGCCAGGTTCGTGGCGTAGCAAAATTGTTTAAAGCCCGTTTATGTTAGGTTAACGTCAGGATTAGAAATTATCGGAAAGGATTTTATACAGTAAAATTGCTCAACGAAGCTTTTTGTTAGAGCTCTAAAGATGGTTTTCTTATGCTAATTTTTAGAAATATGTAATTTTTGACGAAAACGAACGTTTGTTTTGAATTTTCTTGATCAACGTTCCATCTGATCTTGAAATCTGATTCGTAGTTCAGGAAATCTGCGCCACAAACCTGGCACACACTCAATCATCGATACGTAAAATCGAGACATGCGAACAAACTAATTCAACCTTAACTAAATAAGGTGGATCAGTGGTGGCAAAAAACGATCCTCGATCCCGTGACTTCTGCGAAATTTTTAGATTATTAGATACAGTGAAAGTAGTAGCTTAATTTTATATGTAATATTCAGTTTAAATCACGGGACCGAGGATCGTTTTTGCTACCACAGATCCACATAACTTTGTGATACTGGAATAACAGAATTTTTTGCGATATATATGACAAATTCTAATACAAACTAACGCTAACTCAACCTTAGCCAACGCGTTTTACATTAGTAAGCAAAGTTCCGTAACAGAAATTTTAACAATAACTCACAAAAGGCTTTAATTGCATACTGTGTTTCACTGAAATAGTGAGTAACTTTTGCAATAGAATTTTTTACCGTCACTCATGATAATAATAATTACAATGCAAACTAACTCGAACTTAACCACGTACTGAGATTACAAAAATAGCAAATGTTCTGTAATCGGTAATAACCCTAACTACATATTATGTGTACTGGAATAGCAAGTAGGTTTTGTAATAGAATTCTTCCAGTAATAACAATGCAAGCTAACGTAATTTTAACTACATACTATGATCTCTAGGATAGTGAGCAATTTTTACATTAGCTCATAGTAGAAATCACAACAATCTTAATATATAAAGTTGCCATCAAAATAGTAAGTTCTGTAAAGCAGAGGTCTTTTTCGATTCTATCAACTGCCCTACCTTAATAATAAATAAAAAAAATCGTAGAATCAGATCTTAGAAGCTCTTTACAATGCATATGAAACTCTTTTAAATTCCTAAATATTTGATTTCCTGGTTACAATTATTTTTTGGCATAAAATTATAACAAAGGAATCGGAAATATTCAGGAAATTTAGAAATCTTTGAAATTTAAAAGGGTTTTATATAGGTTCTTATTACAAAAAACAAACATTTTTTAAAAATAATCTTACCAAAATTTTAATTTTATTCTATAGGGAACCTGTATATCACTGAAATGAGTAAATTGTTTATCGGAATCTTTACAAGAATCAACAATAGAGATCGCGATAATTTTAATGCAAACAAACTTAATCTTATGATAATTCTAATGTAAACTAACCCAACCTTATTACGTACTATGTCCATCAAAATAGAAGGTATGCTATATACAATAACTCATAATAGAAAATGATGATTCCAATACGAAACTAATAAAGCCTTAATTAAACAGATTTTTTACAATAACTCACAATAGAAATTTTTATAACTCGATTCTGGATTTGTGAGTTTAACAGTTTAATTAGTTAATGTAGTTAAGTAATTAACCTTATTTTTTATTCATTCTGACTTAGTACGTGTATAAACCTGATGATCATTTATTAACCAAAGGTAATAATGATTTATTCGAATTTTATTGCCTGCAGGTATTTACAAAAAAATTTAAGAAATGAATTATTGCTATTAAGGTAACAACCTAATATCTCCATTAGCAGTGACACTACTTTCCGAATAACTATCTTTTTAAAAGTTATAGGTAGATTGATTAAGAGTAAGAGTTATATATATCTATTTATTAATACGTATTATTTAACTCACGTTTAATGAAAATTACGGACTCCTAATCAAACTCTTAAAATTTTTATGAATTTTTACTGGGCCCGTGGCGGAGCCACGGGTCGGACGCTAGTAATTTGTATGTATGTACCGTAACATTATTTCTACATTTGTACATTTGTGTTCTCCTTTTCTAATTGGAGCTTGTCTCTTTTCTGACTTGCTTTTTCTATATGCTAATTGCTGTTCCCGAGAAATCTAACTTCCTCATCGTATTCTACCTTCATTTTTTATTGCGATTCGCTAAGGTATGTAAGTTCTTTTTTGCATTTTAAAATTTATTAAATTGAAAGAATTTCCAATACGGTTAACCACAATAAAAAATTTTCAATGTAAATATGCAAATTTTTATTACGGTATAATTATGTGTTTTATGATATATTTTACGACGGTATTTTAAAATAAGATAAGGTAATTTAATGAAGTAAATACAAGCTTTAAAAGCCCGTTACTTTATTTGAACTAAAATTTTGGTATCGAACCTGATTTAGGTTCAATTTCTTGGATATACAACCTAAAATCTGGATCAGTTAAGCCGGGAACCGGACATTTCCGAAAATTTTGTAGTGTAAGACTTGAAAAGTTTCCACCTCGCTTCCCTCAGTTTCAGCCGACAAATTCATTCACAAGAATATATACTAGCAAGCTATATGATACGATAAAATTTCAGAATATTTTAGTAAATCGATTAGTGAACGAGCGAATATTCAAATTTAGGTCAAATTAAATTACACTAGATGGGGCGCGTCATTTCACTAACGGCTTTTGAGCTAAAGTATGGAAGATATATGGGTTTTCTTTTCTGTTTGTTAATAATCTACTGTAGTTAAAACAGCTACGGGCAAATACGGCTGCATTCTATTTAAAAAAGATCAGCAAGTGTAGACAAATATTATATTTATGTAATATTTGCATTTGCACTAGCTTAAGATCTAGATTAATAAGCATAGCAGTTGTTTAAAAATGAGTCTTATACTTTTAAATTTAATCGTTAGCACAAAATTTATTATTTCTATTTGATTGTTTAAAGTAGGTAGGTCTGCTGAGTTTAGAATATGTGAGTTATTTTCATTTGATATATTCTATTTTAATTCATTATATTTGTATAAGCCTATTAATAACTGTTGAGATCGATATAGTTTAATTAACTCAGGAAGTTTTACAATTATTCGTCTCAGTTGTGTTGAGTAAAAATTATGTTGATTTAATGAAAAAAATTATTCTATTTTGTATTTTAGTTTATAGTATTGTCTCCATAAATTTTTCCATTGAATTATTCTATTCGTGTAAATATAATCATTTATTAATTGATGTATTGGATAATGAATCATGGTTCACCTAAGTGGATCGGAAATTTTAATTCAAAGTGGTTAATGGGTTTTGGATTAATTCTAAATCTATTTAGTAAAATACTGTATTTGACATCTTTATTACAGCTTCTGATAATGACGAAAAATACAGTTTTTTTTTTTAAACATAAAACATCATGAAGTGTTCATCTCAATCACTTATAATAAATTCGGGATTTTACAATCTAATTATATTTAAATTTTAAATTGTTTTGGGAACAACTCCTCAATGCATTTTTGCATTTATACGTTTGCAGTTAATTTTGCGTTACTTATGTGTGATAACGATTGTGTATGATGCTTTCACACATTTAAAGCTTTGATAGAATCCAAGTCGAGAAATTGGTCTGCCTTAAAGGATAATTTTTAACCTAAGTGTTGTACATGTAATTTTAAGGAATTTAATTCTATACATCTTAAAATTTCATGAACATTGTATTAAATTAAATTTATAATCATCCTGTATTACTGATGCTATTGTAAAATTTTTTAATGACTTTAAAGAATGATGTCCTGAAGTCACTTATTGTAAACTTCATTATCCCTTACTCTGTTTTGCAGGCAAATTTGCCCGTAATTTGCATTTTCTCGATAAATTATTAATCTAAGGGTACATGGTATCATAAGACTTAATCGGTTTGTTCGATAATCTTTGAAAAATGACATTCTTTTTTAGCACACGGCCTTTCTATCTTTTTATTTATCCGCTCATTTTTTGGGGTCCTTTGAAATCACGTTCTTGTACTGCCTCTAAATGCCGACGTGCATAAATATTAGACTTTCGATGTACTGTACATGGGTATCTACGTATCAACAATTCGGATTACAGAGTAAGGGATAATGGTTCTATGGACAATATCTCATTGTCAAAGAGTTAGGCAATCACCGTAGTGACTGCTATCTACCCCAGACGGTTTACTAATATTATGGTCTCGCTTGGCACTAGAGACACACTCTCCTCCTTTAACGACGACACACAGTACACTATTTTGCACGAAGGTATTTACTTTAACTATTCGTTTATTACTCAATAATTCCCAGTCGAAAGACTGGTTAATTCTTTATTTACATTTCGCTATTTTATGCGATTCAAACAATTACATACTTTGTATTACCATTTAACTATTTCTTTGTTATTAATTAATTTAACTTTTCATTGTTCCCAACCTAAACGTCATATTCATGCACTCAATGATCAAGGTACCTATCGTACCCGATCTTGCATGTGCCGCCCACATCTTAATTCATACCTCAACTCCGATCGATCACATGATCATGTGAGTCATTCGGTTGACACTTTCGTTCCACCCATCCACTATGCAACTCATCATCTATTTGCATACCTTTTACTAGGTATAAGGGCTCTTTGAAAATTATGCGACACTCATATTTATCAAATTTATTAACCTGAAAACTTACTTGAATTAACTTGATTAGAATTAACTTGATTATGACTATTGTCACAGCACACAATACTGCACTTTCGAATATACTTCACACAATTAAACATATGTTTATAATCGGATGTTAACATGTTTTTATCAATTGATAGTTTTGCAGTAACTATCATTACAGAGCATTTGTAGAATCTAGAAAATCAAATCCTCCAATTTATATAATTGAGAAACTAATGCTATGCTTTTACTCGTATTTGAATCAGTTTAAAACATTTTCTGTATACCTGTTTTATTCATCGCATCTTGAATGTTGTGAAATGGTCTTTTTGTAATTATTTGTTCTGCTTGAATCTTACTAACTTGGCTCACTAATTCGAGTTGTACATGACCAGCTGCATTGATATTCGGGGAACTTTTAACTGCAAATATAAAAGCCCTACCAGCAAATGGACCAAAATAAGCATCCCAGTTCTGTTTATACACAATTCCAGAGTTGCGTGGAAGCTTGATGTTGAGTTTGTCTTTGGTTGTAAAAAATATAAAATAATCATCTTCAGATGCTGATTTTTTTCATTCATTGTTATAGTTCTTCTGGGTGAAAGTTGAATTGTTATTTAGTAACTTGTATTGATGAACTTCATTTATGCATCCATTCATATCCAACTCAAGAAAGGCATCGCCATGTGGTGCAGATACTCTATTTATGATACAATGCATATATTTCTAAATGTCAACTGTATCATGTTCACACTTAATAAACCATTGCTCAGAGTTGCTTCTGGTTGAATGTATATCTACCTGCTGGCTGGCAATATCCAACTGTAGAGGATGGTTTTTGAAACTGATGTTACTATTCAAGTTTGCTCCTTGATAAATTTATGAAATGGATGTTATTTCTCCTTCATTAAATATTCTAGACTTTAAGCAATGAAAAGAAGCATTGAAATTTTCAAAGCTTTGCCAAGAACAATACTCTGTTGCCAGAGATTTATCATTTTGCTCTTCATAGTTATCAAACCACTAGTGTTGAAGCTGAGGATCATTTCTGTTAGCAAACTGCCCTACCATTATCCAAAGCCATATATATGGCATAGTGAAAAATCCATAATTGGAATTGCCAACTTTTTCAAAATGAAACATTCCAGTATAAGTAACTTTATCAGGTGTCAGAGTTGATTTAGCTTCGATAGGTTTATATGGATTTAAGAGCTTGTGAGTTAACACAGCCTGTACTATTTGCTTGGCTTCATTAAAAATATATGAAAAAGCTTGTTTATATAGACTTTTGAATATATTATGGAGAAATTCTATAAGATTATTAATATTGAAATTATTAATGTTGTTCTGTGACAAAAAATCTTAAGCGCCTGTCCATGTCTACCACAGTTGCTGACAAGAAGCCTTATAATAGAATTATTTATATCAAAAATATCTTTTATAATGCTATCATGAGTAACAGTTATAGGTTTTAGTAAAGATACTAGTAGAAATATGCATTTTCTTGATGAAACTGCAAAAAAATTTGATAGGCTTAGCAGTTGTTGCTATACAGCAGGAAGGTTTCTTTAACGAAAGATCTTCAATATTAGTCAAAGTTTTGTAAAACGAAGAGTTTTTATTGTGTCTATCATTTATATCGCTTATAGTATTTTGCAGGCCATCAATGACTAAGACAACTATAGCATTTTCCAATTTCTTGTTCTTATATTTGACAATTAAGGCCAAGACATCCTATAGGGATGGTGGCTTATAATTCCCAATGATATTGTCCAATCTTTCACTAGACAAAAGTTAAAAAAGCATTCTGGTACTAACAGCTAGATATGCATTTTGTTCAGATATTTTTAAACTACTACTGCTTACATAGCTAATATTGAATACTTAAGCGTTTTCAAAATGACTTCTTAGTTCTGAATCTTTAGGTGCACGTTCAACTATTGTATGATAGAATTCAGTAGAATTTCAAGACTTTTTAATGCCAGACCCAGAGATAAACAAGTAAATTAGAATATAGATTTTGTCTCATTCTTCATTTTTATTATGTTGGTAATGGCTTAGGAGTTTTGTTTGCAATGTTTTACACAATGACTAGTCTAGTTGATAATTCTATCACAAACCACTACTATAAAGCAAGGGTGTTGGTTTCTTATATGGCAAGCCTAGTATAACAATAGAAAGTTAGTTAGTTATGATACAAAAATAAAATTAGGATTTATTGCTACTAGGTTTAATGAACCTAAACTGAACCTGAACTTAAAGTTCAGGTTCATTCAGGTTCAGTTCAAAGTTTATGAACATATTCAGGTTCAGTGAAAACATAATAAAAAGTAAAAATATGTTTTTTATCTTTAGAATTTGAAGATTTTTAACCAAAATATTTTCTTTACTAAGTAAACCTTTTTTTTCAACTTCTAATTAAAGTTACAGAGAAACATCTTGTGATCAAAATGGCGGTTAAAACATTAAAATCAGCCTAGTAGATCATGAGATATAAGTATTTTTGTCTTTGCGATTATATGTTTTCTTCTT